ACCTCGCGATTGCTGAGCAAGAAAACGACACATTCATATTCCAATGCCGAGGTTAAGAGAAAGTCGATCTTGGGAACTTTATCTCGAATGTTAAAACCTCAACTTTAATAAGTTATGCGGCCAAAGAATTGTGAATGATCACCTGAAGTACCCTTGGATTGGAAAATTTCGGCGTGGTGAATTCGATTTTGAGAGGCCGGGGAAGTTCTTCTGCTATTGAAGACAACGAAATGAAGGCTTTGGGAGAAGTAGGTACATGAACAAATGTTCGAGAAAATGCAGGAAAAAATCCTACGTGGATTCAACAGTTTCAGGGCATCTAAAAACGCTGGATAGATAACCGTGACAATTGGGTATTGAATATTTATCAGAGAAATCACCCTTTTAAGGTAACGTCGCCGCTTCTTCTACGCAACCACTCTATGAAAATGTGCAACGAGAAATTAATCCCTTACGACAACGGGACACGATCGGCTTGGTGCTGGGACCGCGGTGAAGCTTTGTAGTACTTCCCAAAGTCGAAATTGCACCAGAAGATGGTGACGCTGACCGTTTGGCGGTCTACAGATTGTTTGGTCTATCTAGGTTTCCTGAATCTGAATGAAAGGATCACGACTGAACAGTAAGTCAAGCGAATGGACGAAATGCAGACTATGGCATAAACTTAACAACCGCCTCCATCATTGATTAACACGAAGGGATCAACCCTTCCCCACGATAACGCGCGGCTACGCTTGGTACTTCTGACTCTACCAAAATTAAACGAGTTAAGCTGGAAAACTTTTCACCCACTACACTGGCGAGACATCGTACCTACCGATTATCACTTCTTCAAGCGTATTTATAACTTACTGCGCGAGGAATGGTTCCGAAACCATGCCGAGCGCAACACTTCCTGCTACGACTTCGTAGTCCCTGGAATTCCAGAAATCTTAGCAACCGTCACACATAAACTTGTCTTTTAATGGAAAAGTTGTGTAAATTCTAAATAACTTTCTTCTTCTGTTCAGCAAACACGAGGTGCTATTTTATTTCTTTATTCACGCTTCTTTCGGCGGATTTCGCCTTCCTCAGAGCCGGGAAGCGTCAAGTTGACAGCAATCTATTCGGCCAAACACCTCCATAACCAAACAAAAAAAACGCTGAACCAAGATTTCAATCACATTTAGCATAGCACTGCACACTCACCGCTTTCTATGAGTCTTCCACTGAGTATGTCGCGTGAAGACCGACCGCACCGAATTCACATGGAAGCGTAATGTGCTCCTCCCATCAGAATAACAGGTTTATATACTGTCCAATATCGCGCGTGATAATGAGGTATTCCTCCCTGCGGTTCATTTTCGGATTCTTGGAATTTATCCAGAATTCCTCTAGAGTTTTGCGCGCTTGTGTTATCGATTCTTGCGCGAGGATCGTAACCCTTACTTCAAAATCTTCTCCGTTATGTTTCTGCGTGCTATGCGTACCTAGTGGAGTACTTAGCTTACGTTTGCTGACTAGGTGCTCTTTTACGCCGAGTGGTCTACCCGTTTCGCCAACGTATTCGTTCCCGCACGCTTTACAAGAGATCAGATAGACTGTACCCGAACTCATGCAGTCACCGTCTCTACCATTGGGGCAAATTATGCAATTTTGTGTTGCACATAGGCGGTCGTATAGGCGGCTACGAACTAGCTGGCGCCTTAGATTACTCGGTGGTATTTCAACTACGTTTACCGAATTCTCTAGACTGGCCCTTCTTAAACAGCGTTTTATAGCTGCACCTACTTCAGTTGAAAGAAGGGCAGTATAAATTCTAAATATCTTTATCCTCGGTAGTAAAGATTGCTCTGAGCTGTGATATTTAAAATTTAGAAATACGGATTGAAATTCACCGTTAATTTCTGAAAAACTTAGAACTCATGAAAAATCGGCCTGCTAACGCAGTTACGCGTGTAGCGCAGTGGAAAGAGGAACCTTGCAATGCGTACGGGTTCAATCCCACGCTCCAGGCTCACCAAACCCTCCATTCCTTTGGGTCGGTGAATTAGTACGACATCTATCTGGGAGGAAGGCAGCACTGACTCGGTACATTGGTATGCCACCGCGAATCATTCTATAGGCCAGATATGCACTCAATCAGTTTTAACTATGCTTGGTGAAGTCGAACGTAAGGCGCATCCCTCAGGAATTGATCTTCACCGAGAGCTTTATCCTTTATCAATTTTATGTAAAGTAAGGTCTCAATGACAGGATATGCCAGAGTGAAAAGACTAAGCAACTCAAACATTAACTTACGCCATTTAATAATCAACTTGCGATCCGTTATAGTGCGAATCATCGAGTAAGAGTCAATTTAAAAAGATAGTATTAGGTGTTAGGTATGAGACAGTTTTTGCACTGCCGGATAGTCAGAGGAAACTCTTATTGTTCCGCGTATGTGTAATTTGATTCTATGTTTGGCTTCAGGACAGAAACTTTGCCTGGAGGGCGGAAATGTAATACAGGTGTCTCAAAAAAATTCTCAATAGAAGTTTTCTTCGATCCTGATTAGTTGATAGTATCATGGCGATAACATGTCGTATGACATAAATTATCCATCCATGACCGCTATCACGTCTAACGTCGGCTCAAAAGTCACTAAGCAAAATAGTATGCGCAATAAGTGTCATGGCGCTCCATTATCTTCGAAGCCTATAAATCATGTCCTCCGTGAATTACATCTCCGTTACGCTTTCCATTCCAGTTTATTTGACGATATCTAATCGCTCAGCAATAAAACGAACGATTCGCGATCGATCGCTTTAGCTAAGAACAACCTTGTCAAGTCGTTTTTTAAGATGCGACTACGATGACGACACCATCGTTCTCACTCGCACAGCACTAATTATTTCAATGCTATCAGCTCAAAGTGAAACTACTATCATCGTTACGAAAAGGCTATTTTTCAGTAACTAAATGCAGATGAGTAGTGCTGTACTCATATCATTATCGATAGTGGACATAGGGCGTTGTAGTTAAGGTTTTCTCCGAAAATCAACAGCTATGACAGAATGATCTTGTCGAAAATGTCGGACTCACCTGTCCTGCAGTGTCACACAGTTGTAAGCGAACCGGCTTTTTATCGACGCGTACCACAACTAAAATTCTCTGTTCACCAGTCTTTGCATGATTTCTGGACATATTAAGCTTTCTTTTTCAAGAAGGAAAATTCCAAAAGTGACTCTGCTTTGAAAATTTTTATAATAGCTAATAAATTCTAACTATTTGATACCTGCACATTTCATGCAACATTTTGTAGTAAGCGACGTTTTTCATATGAGAATAACTGATGTTTTGAAGAAAAATGCCACGGTTACAAACTATGTCCAGTTTGTCTTCATAAATCTTTGAATAGTAAATGTCCTTTAAACTTTCTTACATTCATCTTAGTTCCATTTCTTGAACTGCTGTAATCTTATAGTTAAATATTCATTAATACTCACTTGAAACTTTAAACATGAACGCGCCGTCCTCACTGGTTGCGAAAGGACCCAACATAATCACCATTTTTTTGAGATTTGCTGGTTGAGCCATTGTAGTTCCTTGGAATCCCGAGGCCACCCTGGCCAAAATGTGCGCCAGGTCTTCACCACCGCAGTCAGTCGCAGCCCTTGTGGATTAGGCGGAGATTTGCCACCATGCGACTTTGATACCAAGACGGTGGTGGATCCTGGTATTGGTTCACTCTTAGCTAGGCTTCCTGATGGAAACGCCAGACTCCTTCTCAGCTTGGGCGACTCTGCCAGGGGTAAGAATTTCTCGCTGTACATCGCAGTCCGACACCCAGAAACACCTCCCAGCCATGATGAGGCGGTAAACCGTTGGAAGGATTCATAAATTAAAAAAGATGTTAAGATATCCACGAAATAGTGAAGTATTCAACTGTTATTACTAGTATCATTCTTGTCGTATAGAAAGCAGCATCAAATATTAGAGTTAAACAGAATCTACAAAAAAAAAAAATTTGGAATGGTTCTTTATCATACGCATATATATGTTCTAACTTCCACCCTCCTTTTTTCTCAATGACAAGGTATTAGGTGAAATACAACTACATGAATGCTCAAATATGAGCGAAAGTAGGACCCTCAGGTGAGCTTCGCACCAGTGTTTGCCCTTCCTTGGGTCTATAGGCCACTATGCCTCCCAACGGTTTACCGCCTTATCGTCGCTGATAAGTTCTCTTGGGTAACGAGCAGCGATGTACAGCGGGGGATTCGTCACTTCAACAGGGTTTCCGAAGCCGAGTAGTTCGGTGTTTGCATCAGGAAGTCGAGGTTCGAAACCAATAGCAGAGTTCATCACCGACCTGGTATCAAACGAGTCGCATGGTGGGAAATCTTCCTCTAATCCACAAGAGCAGGGACTGCCTGGGGTAGTGACTATGTGAGGCTGATTTTGGTGAGGCTGACCTCGAGAAGAATGGATATTATTTTAGGGTCCGCACAACTAGCGAGGGCGGACCGTCTAAGTATCCAATAAGTATAGACCACTAATAAATCTAATGTTGTAGTAGAAGGAATAGGTTTATTAAATGTAGAATTACCTGAGTAGTTGTCGAATGCGGTTGGAACGTAGTGTTGAGGATATCCGTTAGTGGTGTAGGAGACGATCAGAGACGTTTTGCCGACAGCCGCGTCGCCAACCAGCACACATTTCAGTGTTCGTACCGGCTCACCGGAGTCGGTCATCTGAAAACCGTGCAAACAGTTAAAAACACCTAGAGAGCACGGGGAACGAATGAAATTCAAGAAGCGCACGAAAATCATCCTGGCTAGATACTGTACACGACGAAGGTTTAATGTTACGAAGCGAAAAAATCAAGAAAAGTAGCTCTATAGAATTACAATAATAATGGCAATAATATTAACGACAGAAAGTAACAAAAACAACGTAGTTATACACTAATACGTATATATGAATATGAATGTAAAAGCAATATGAGTGGAAAAATGAGATTGTGGTTTCCAATGAGTTAGGAAGAAGTAGAGAGGATGCTAAAGTTAGCTCAATAAATAAAAAAAGGATAAAGCTTTCGGCGTTGATCAATCCCTAAGGGATGCTCCCCATGCATTAGACTTCACTAAGCATCGCTGGAGGTGATTGAATCCACATCTGGCCTTTACTAGTGACTCGCAGTGACCTACCAATGTATGAAGCCAGTGTTGCTATCCTCCCAGACAAGTCTGGTACCAATTTGCCGACCGGAAGGGGGCCATGGACGTGGGAATCGATTCCACGTGTGTATTGCAGGGCGCCTCCGACCACTGCGCCACACGGGACCTTTGGTTCAATAACTAATTAAAACTCTGAAGCGAGTTAAATAATAAGGTTCCTATGCAAAAGATATAAAATGCAGAACACGATTATATTATCTAAGAGCAATGATATACTCTTGAAGCGATTTATAATGTGTTAACAGTCAAAATCTTGCTGTCAGTGAAGGAAAACTGTAATGTAGTTGAAATAATAGTAAGAAACCTATTCAGAGCATCCTAAGAAGTGTCGCAATGTGAAGATGAATAAGTGAAATTCTTTTGCGAAGAAGTTAAAGAAATGAAAGAGTAGCTGAGCACTAGATGAGAGAAAGGCGGAACGAAGGACTCGTATGGTGTGGTGGTGAACGCGTTAGCCCCCGGAATGAGTAATAGCGCGTTCGTTCCCCACTGCAAATACCAGCCGTCCGAAGTATTGCAAATATTTCAGCACCATTATGGTTATATTTCACATAATACAATGCTATTAAAAAGATTAGGTAGTAAATAAAAAATTTAACAAAACAGTGACTTAGTTATAATCACAATCTTAACCCTTTTATTTACTGCCTTTTTCTTTTTAGTGGCAGGGTATGTTGTGAAATATAACTCGTATGAAGTGCTGAGATATCTGATTATAACGGGGGCCTCAGCTTAACTGGGTTCAATGCCGATATTGGCTCCCCAGATCAATCCCGTTGACGGGTGAAATATAACTCGTATATGATGCTGAGATCGATAGAACTAGCTGAGAGACAGGCAAAACGAAGGACCCGGATGGTGCGGTGGTAAAGTGCGCTACTCTCCGGTAAGGGGAATAGCGCGCGTTCGTTTCCCACTGCATACACCTGCGGTCCGGAGTTTTCCAAATATCTCAGCATTATAAAACAATGGCCTTTCAAACCTGTTTTGGCGCTCAAACTTCTTCAACGACTTTCAATCTAGCACTGTTTCTGTTATTTAAATATGATTTGGAATGGCAAAGTCGTCTAATATTTCTATCCGATCGATCGATCTTAGCGATCTTTGAACTAAAAGAATCGATCCTAACGCTTTTTCTTTGTTCATTGTAGAAACACATTGGTTGAAAATGAATTAGATTTTAACAAACCCTAGTTATTCCTTTTTCAATGCGGAAGCTGGTATTGTAAAGATAGCCATGCTTACTGTTATGCTATCTGAAATATTAAGGACATATAAGAGAACTGAACACTGTCAAAACTAATAGCGTGCAGCAAAGGAAAAAAAGGAAAAAGGAACGAAAACTATGTAGAATAACAGAAAGAAGCTATGAAACAGCTAGAGATGAAAATAGGAAAAATATCATGATTTAAGAAACAATGTAGTAGTGAATGGAAATGATTAACATGTCATCGTGATCTCACGACCAGCTGCAACCGACGAAGGTATGAACGACGATGAGAATGTGACCGAAAGAAGAGCAATGTCTGGCGACGTTGCAAGCATGTTAGACACGAATCTATTGAGTATATCATTTGCAACAAAGGATAAGGCTGTCGGTGTTGATAAATTTCTGAGCTATTCGCCATGCTTTCGATTCATTAAGCATCGTTGGAGATGACAGAATGCATGTCTGGTCTTTACAGTAACTCACGATGGTCTAGCGATGTATCAAGCCAATGCTGCTATCTTCCCGAACAAGTTGCTGAGCCCGGAAGAATGGAAGGCTTGGTGAGCCTTAGGAGCGGGGATCGATCCCGTGTGTACTACAGGGCGCCTCTAATCATTGAGCTACACGCGTCAGGAAGTCGTTCATAATTTCTACTCTTTATTTAATGCCTATTATTTTTTTTATGGTAGAGTATTATGTGATTTAAAACCGCAATGATACTGTGATATTTGCGAAAGGCAGACCTTAGAATAGATTGAAATTCGCGATCACCTCTTCCTGATGCTCACCTTGTACCCACTGAACCACTGAAGCCCTTTCTTGAGATCCAAAGCCAGATCGGAACCCGCGAACATGTTTTCGGGAGGAGAGCTCATGTTTTACCCGCTGCAGTACTCCATACCATTCACAGTTCTGCTTTTTATCGTACATCGTATTGTACATAGACAGAGTGATTTTACAAGCACTTTTCATAAACAATGTTCGAAGCCCAGTGAACCTTCCATTCACTTCCTCGTTTTGAACAGGTTATCAGCGAAGGTGTTTGGACATTCACTTAAATTTGGCGTAAATTATCGGCATACATTTAATATTTACATTTTGCATCACTCCATTCTATATCGTCCTTGAGTTGCTTGATCTAGCAATCATAGGCCTCAATAAAATACAGGAATTGCTACCCTCACAAAAAGAATTCAAGTTGTGTGATAATAAGGCAGGGCACTACGCCTACTGATAATCTGAGGAGAGCTAGGACCGCTATCATGTTCTCATTGATAAGAAAAACGTTTTCATCTACGGTGACGGTTGTGCGAATGGAAGGAGTGCTGGGAAGGCTCATCATGTGAAGACTGGCCATCTAAGTAGTTAGGTAAGCATATTGCATTTCAGATACCTTATGTCAAGTACTTTTATCATATTATGCTAAATTCTTGTCCCATTTTATGCTTCCGTGTTTTAAAAACTTTCACTCTCTTCGTCTTTTTCGCATTTCCAATGATTTTTTATACAGAAGCATAGAAAACCATAATAAAACCACCAAATCGGTATAATTTAACTTTCTATCTTTTCATGATTTTGTTCTCAGTGGTGGAAAACGGATGGAGGATGACGTTAACGCTTTCAAGTACTTTCCGTTGCCCTAAAAAGAACCGCAACTTCGGTTGCTTTCTCTAGAAATTCCACATGCCATGTAAAAGTCCAGCTTCTGAACAACAGATGACATTGCGGATACCGTCATCGAGTGCTGCTTAGATCGTTATCATCTACGGATTTTACCGATATGGTTACCAATACGTTATTGATATTGATACTAATACGACTTCTAAACTGGAATGAATTATACTGATCAAGGAAGAGCGTTTTAACAAAAAATAGGTCTATTAATAAAAAAAAACTAGTGAAATTGTTAGAAATGAAGGATGAGGCTAAAAGAATTTGTAGAGTAATGAATAGAAAGTCTTTAAGGAATTCTATCAGTTATGGAAAAAGTTAGGAAAGCAAACGACACAGAGGTGGGTAGAGCCGATGTACACGTTGAAAAGTGCAAAATTGTTAAACTTCTGAACTCATTAAGCGCTAGGAGGCAGAGAGACAGGCAGACAAATTGGTGCACAGACAGAGAAACAGGCAAATAGGCAGAGAGATGTACAAATAAAGGGAGATACAGACATAGCGACAAGGAGAAAGCCAGATGGACATCGCGAAATGTGAACAGTTTTGCACAAATTTGTTTTCATTCATCTGAAGTGATGGTAGCACGAGTCGCCGCCGAAAGACAACATTCAACAAATTCCGCTCCGCGCTAAATTCCACGCGCTGACAAAACGCTGCAAAGAACGGCGCATTGGAAGGAACAACTTTCTGCAAGCTATAGAATGGCGTTATGATTTCTACTTTCAGATTTGGCGAAAGATTATGGATAAAGCAAAAATCAAAGGATGATGATGACAGGATGAGAAACTCATGCACCGTATTTCTTGCTGGACTAAACGATTTTAGGTGGAACGTTCGATATTTGGAAGGATTTTTTAAAACATATTGTGTAGAAGTATAATATGAAGGAATTTTTATTATTTTGAATAGCACCACTGTTTTACCTATTACTCGATAAGAAATGTTGTCGCTGTTCCTTTGATGGGGTATTGAAAATTTAATGGCGAAGATATATAATCACATACACGTTATTTCGCAATACTACCACTATTCAGAGCGACTGTGGCGCAGTGTTCGGAGGCGCCCATGCAATACAAACGTGGAATCGATCCCCACGCTCATAGCTCACCAGGCCTTCCATCCATCCGGGTTCGGGAAATTGGTACCTAACTATCTAGGAGGGATAGGAGCACTGGCTCGATACATCGATAGACCACCACAAGTCATTGTAAAGGCCAGATATGAATTCAATCACCTCCAAACGATGCTTAATGAAGTCGAATACATGGCGCATCCCTTAGGGATTGATCAACGTCGAGAGTTTTATCCTTTATCCTTTTACCATTATTCTTGAAGTTTCGGCTGAAAAAGCTGGAACAGTTTCTAGGACTACTTTCTATTAAACTCAACACTGACCGTATAATTCACTGTTTTCTTAATGAGCAAACATGACGCTGTTATTTTACTCTTTATTCGCAAAAAAGCTGACGATTCGGTGGATTTCGTCTTCTTCGGAGCCTGAAAAGATCATTGACGGTAAACTCAGCCAAACTTAACTATAACCAAGACAGAAAACACACGAAACCAAAATTTCAACCGCATTGAGAACAAAGTAGCTATTTAGCAGACTCGCCGCTTTCTATAAGTCCAC